ATGTGGACCCAATGACTCTAAATGATAAGGGATGAAGAGGTTCATAAGAAAATAAAATAAAATAAGAAATTTTGTTATCTAAAACTGAAGATGACATGCGATTAATGAGATAGCATGCACTAAGGATAGCATCACGCCAAAAACGCTGAAAAAACCTCACCATAGATTAAAATTGTGTGGTTGTTTTAACAAGATGTCTATTTTTGCGTTTAGCTATTCCATTTTGTTGAGGGGTATATGCATATGAGGTTTGATGAAAAATAACATGAGAAACCATAAAATTTTGAAAAGAATGAAAAGGATACTCACGGGCATTATCACTGCACAAGGTTTGAATAGAAAATCGAAATTGATTTTTTAATTTCATTGTAAAAGGACTGAAATATAGAGAATAACTCAGAATTATCTTTCATTAAAAATAACCAAGTACATCTTGAATACTCATCAATGAAAATCACAAAATATTGAAATCCCAAAATTGACTTAACACAACTTGGTCCCCAAATGTCAAAATGAATTAAGGCAAAAGTAGACAAAGCAAATTGTGAGGCACTTTTAAGGAAAGAAGTATGACTGTGTTTTTCTAATTGGCATGACTCACAAGACAACTTTGATAACTTAGATAAACTTGAAACAAGTACTTGCATCTTGGCAAGCCTAGGATGATCCAACTAAGCATCAATGAGAGGGAGAATCCATGGTTGAACCAACATGTGCAGAGGTCCGTAGATTATAAAGACTATGAGACTCACGTCCTGTGCCAATCATCCGTTTTAAACTTCGATCCCGTTAACAACAAAATCTTTGGTAAGGAAGAGTGTATAATCAAGGGAACGAGCAGTGGTGGATCTTAATAATTTTGAAGGACCTAAATAATATATTATTAACAAATAATAAATAAATATGAAAAGATGAAAGAATATAAAAGGATATAAGGTCAAATTTGTAAATATACAAGTAGGTATATTAAATAATCATTAAGTTTGGAGATCAAAATCATAAATGCATATGTAAGTACAAAATTTTGAGGGGGCTATGGCTCCCCTCACCTTCCAAGAAGTTTCGCAGCTAGGAACGGGTAAGATAACTAATGGATCATAAATTAAATAGAGACTCAAAGACATAAAGGATATTATCAATGATAGAGATGGAAAGAGATGAATGGTATCAACAACATGTGAGGTGGTCCTAGATCCATTGGTCATGGTAACAGAAGGTAAATAACCCGAGGTAGATTGAGAAGAGACAAGAATTTATTACTAGTGATGTGATGTGTGGTACTTGAGTCTAGAACCTAAGGGCCAAGAGAGTTGGAGTGGGTTAACAAATAATATATTTAGAAGCAGTGGAATTAGAGCTTTGACAAGATCCTCATACCATTTGTGAAATTCATTGAAGATAATAGATTGTTATGAAGAATCAGAGGTAGTAGTAACAAAAGAGGCCATGAATAATTGTAGAGAGAGAAACTGATTACCAAGAGAAAGAAACAACTTTGAAAAAAATATTATGTAAAATCCATCGAGCCTTGATCACAACGTAAGTTACAAATTTGGAGAGATTATGGAAATGCGAGTCCATGATGTTTGGTCCAAACTACGACAACAACATCGATGATGGTTGGCAAGGGGGTCGGGAGGAAAAAAAGATATTTAATACTAGCGAATAGTGGGTTCACTAGGGAGGCAAAGATTAAACCTAACTCTTGATATCATGTTGAAATAAGAGAATCATAGATTGAATCCCTAATGTGTTAAGTACATAAGGTTAACTCTTTATATATAAGATAAATATAAAGTTAAGAAAATAAACAAATGATGTGGGCCTAAGCCTGTAACATATTGTGACTTATATCTTGGTTGACCATGTCAGGGCCAATGGCAATTGATTTGGGAAGTTGGAGATAGAAATTAAGTGGGAAGGAGTAAGGTTTAAGCTAAAAGGAAACAAAATGTCCTCTTTAGAGTTTGGTGGATACTTCTAAATGTTGTTTTTGCTGGTGTTGCTGACATCGATCCACATTGAAGTTGGAATGTTAAGGGGTCACTAAATGAGCAACAATACAAGAAGCTATTGGTGGTTTCAGAGGTGTTTACAAAGATTTTCAAGGACCCAAAAGGGTTATCCTGTGAGAGGAACAAAGAGCACTATATCACTCTTTTTGATGGATATGGTCCTGTTAATGTAAGGCTATATATAGATACCCACACCACCTAAAAAATGAGATCGAGAAACAAGTCATGGATGCCTTTTCTAGCTCAATAAGTCTAGTTAAGGAAAGGAAGACTCATGGAGGTTATGTATAGACTATAGAGCCCTTAACAAGGTGATAGTTCTATACACGTCCCTAATTCTGGTAATTGATGAACTTTTAGATGAGGTGCTGGATACCTCTACGTATGGTTTTTGATGGAGATGATGACATCAATTCACATTGAAGTTGAAATGTTAAGGGGTCATTTAAATGAGCAATAGCACAAGAAACTATAGGAGGTTTCAAAGGAGTTTATAGAGATTTTCAAAGATCCAAAGGGGTTATCCCGTGAGAGGAACAAAGGGCATTATATCACTTCTCTTAATGGATATGCTCTTTTGTTAATCTGAGGCAATATAGACGCTTGCATGACCAAAAGAATGAGATCAAGAAGTAGGTCATGGAAATATTATAGGTAGGGATTATAGACATAGTCAAGGTGCTTTTTTAGCCCAATAATTCTATTTAAGAAAAAGGATAACTCATAGAAGTTATGTGTAGATCATAGAGCCCTCAACAAGGTGATATAGCTCTAGACAAGTTATGAACTTTATGAATATTTGGTAATGCCTTTCGGTTTGATGAATGCTTCTTTTACTTGTCAAACTCTAATGAATGAGGTGTTTAGATCTATGTTGAGGAAATATGTATTGTTTTTTTTTAAGGAACACGTTGGTCATTTACGAAGATTCTACATGAATTCCAACTATGTTGCATGAAGTCCACACAACACCTCTCGAAGGGCATTCAAATTTTTACAGAACTAATAGGTTAATAGTTGCAAACCTGTATTGGATGGGTCAGAAAGGAAGAATCTAGTTATTCATTAGAGAATGTGAAACCTGGCATGGGCAAGAGTACCTGGCAACTTGTGGCAAAAATACCTAACTTCTCCTGGTGGCTTGCTACAGCCATTCAATATTCCAGAAAATGTGTGGGAAGAAATTTCTGTGGACTTTATAATAGGGTTATCAAAGTCCAATGGTTATGAATCAATATTTGTGGTAGTTGACAGGTTATCAAGATACAACCATTTTATTTCCCTAAAACATCCTTATAAAGTGAAGGTATTACCTGAAGTATTCATCAAGGAGGTAGTACGTTTGCTTGGGATTCCAAGAACTACCGTAGGTGATAGGGATCTAGTTTTTTATGCAAGTGTTCAAGTTCCAAACCAAGGTACTCAATCGAGAATGAGCACATCATACCACCCTCAAATAGATGGATAGGTTGTAAATAGGTGTTTGGAGACTTTCCTAAGGTGCCTTATATCTGATCAGCCTAAGAATTGGGTATGCTAGGTACCATGGGCTGAATACTAGTATAATACCAATTTTAATCTGTCTACAGGAACCACACCATTTGAAATTGGGGAAATTGTGTATGGCAGGCCACCACCAGTCCTCACCAGGTTCTTGCCAGGAGAAACTGGAGGGGAGGGAGACAAAGGAAGTTGATTGATAGGGATGAAGTGCTAAAACAATTCAAGCAACATACAAAGAGCCCAAGAGAGAATGATAACCCAAGCAAATTTGAAAAGGACCCATAAATGTTCTGAGATAGGAGAGTGGGTTTCTCTAAACTTAGGCCAAATAGGCTGCAAACTGCATGCACTAAAATCTGTCTTAAGTTGGCTCCTGTTATTGTGGACCTTTCCAAATAGTAGGAAGAGTTGACACAGTGGCTTATAGGCTCCAACTTCCACAAGTAGCACGAATCCATCTGGTGTTCCATGTGTCATTGCTCAAAGAGGCAACGGGGAACTATGAAGTGGAGAAAGATCTTTGTAAAAGAATGGAATGTGGAGGTTACTCAAGAAGAGGAGTCTGCTAATGTTTTGGCCACCACAGTGGTTAACTTAGGTGGGGAGGCTACTAAACAAAGTACTCTTCCAATGGTGTGGAAAACAGGTGGAAAAGGCTAAATGGGAGGAGGAATTCAACATCAGAAGCTATTTTCTCATTTCAGTCTTGATGACAAGAGTAATTCTCATGCTGGAGGCAATGTTAGCAGTCCAAATAAGCAAGTGGGCTTAGATGCAGAGTTAGTGCATCAAAATCATAAGAGGCCCATTGTGTGGAAAGTCTATGAGAGAGAAAATAGAAAGAATAGAGAATGATGTGATGTCAGGGAGTGAAGTGTGTGTGAACATAGTGGTAGGGAGTGCGGTGTGTGAGGACGTTGACAAGGATTAGTTAGAGGGATTTCCAGTTATATTGGACATGAGGAAGTGAGAGGGATATCTTTTGGTGATTATAGAGTTTGTAAGAAATGGAGAGCTCTAGCTCTCTGTTATGAGCCTGACTCTGATATAAGAGAATCTCTATTCTCTTGTATTTCCTTTTCCCAGTTCATCAATAATACAGTATTCCATTTCTATTAATTTATTCTTGAGTTATATTAATTTAATGATTCAATTCTGGTTCCTATCATAAACTGTACCAAACATGCACTAAGCCTATGATATAATGTTTTTGGTTTGTGGCAATCAAGGGATGCTGGATTAAGTGATTGCTGTTGAAGTTTACTATTCTTGTGCTTTAGCCCGATAAATTACCTGACTCTGGATGTTATATTTTGTTACAGTTGAAGGAAATGGCGGAAAGACTGCCAGAAGGATATAATACTGACTCCAGTACAGAACTCTGCTGAAACCACTAGAAGTAATTTAGATCATTCCTTAGAGGTGAGGTCCATAAGAAACACTGTCATTCTCAAAAATGAAGGCAATAGCATTGTAGCAAATATGATATTACCTAATGGTGCCAAAACACAAAGTGGAAAGGCCGAGTGGGTAGTTCAAGATGAACCAGGTGTGTACGTAAGTTTGTTCCCCCAGCCAGGTGGTGGTAATGAGCTTAAGCGTGTTCGCTTCAGGTATTTATCCTTTGCTATCCACTAATTTGCTGAGCATATCGAAACTTTATCTTATTCTTATAGAACTATAACAATATAGTTTATGAACTCAGTCTCCACCTAAATGAGAAGTGACGCTACTTTGTTAAAAGACCATTTTGTCATTGTTGGATTTCCTTTTTTCACCCATGTTTTTATCAGTACGTTTTTAACTAACTAAAAGCATGGCAGATGTTGGTGATCAAGCTGTACTAAGTACTTTTTAAACCACCTCATGTATTCCTAATCCATTTATTTGTCTGTTTCTTTTCCTTACCCAATCTGAAACTCGTTATTATATAAAATATTTAATGGACCATCATTTCATACATCTACATCCATCTACAACTTGTTGCTCCATGAAATACTATCAGAGGAGGTTGATGTGGGGGCTGGATAGAGCTTGTGTAATCATGCAACTTTCTGAATGCGTGCATTCTTGCATTATTGTACTCTTGTCCGAAAACGAGGCACTATTAGAAAATTGTTCCCATAAAACTTTAAATGTAACAACTCATATTATCAACACCCATCGCTAGCTATGTGTTATGTGGAAATACAAATGGCCAAAGACAAAGAAAATTTACTGCATTTTTTAAAATATCTTAAGAATATGTGGTGAATGTTTAAAAATATTTTCCTTATCTGTTAATTAGGTTTTGTGCGCACTTAACTGAAACTCTCAGTTGTTTTTACAGCCGAAAGCATTTCACGGAAGAACAAGCTGAGAAATGGTGGACCGAAAATGGAACCAAAATATTGGAGCGGCACAATGTAGTTGCTTTATAGTATATGCAAGAGAATCTGTTCCATGGAGCAAAAACTTATCCTTCTTCTGTGAGGCTATGGAAAAAGTAAATTCTTTTCCCTTCTCCCTCGTCTCCCTCTTCCAAAATTAACAAGGATCTTGTCCAAAATTGACAGGTAGATACAAAATTATGGGAAAAAAAACACAGTAGGAGGAAACTTATAACTTTCCAGAAAAATGCTACTACAACTTCCCTTCCCTCAGCCAAAGAGAAAAAATGGAAAATAGCGGAGAAAATTTTCTTTACTGAAAACTGTGATGCGATTCAGCTGTTTTATTTTTGGTACAACTGGGTGTATGTTTACTTGCAGCTGAGGATTTTTGTTCAGTTTCTTTTTATCTATTGTATAGCTACTTCTCTTGCCAACCTAGTGATCTCTTATTGTGCATTTTGTTGATATGCTCACTCCATCTGGAGCATAGCAAGGCACTGCACTTTACATCCTTGGCTGTATGAGCGTTTAATCGTTGGTCCCTTTTACCATTCTGATATTCAATACCTTTGCAAAGGTATGGACGGGGATAAAATTAAAATTTGACTAGGTATCCTCAGTAAAGAGGGTTTGTACATTTGCTAGTTATTCATTTTTTTAAGCCCCGTATAGTATCTGTTGCTTTTAATTTTTTATCCTTCGGACTAGGAAATCATTTTGCCGTAAATTTAGATCATCATTGGTCCTTGGAAGAGTCTGAAAATATTTTATTTGCGCCAATTTTTGATTAGCATCTATCCTAAAATCTTGCAGAGGTTGTTATTGGCAAATGTGGGAAAAATGGTGATGACTACTCATGTGCATCTTCATGGGAGCAAGTAGCAAAAGTACAATACAAGAACCTGCACTCAAATACAACATTTTTCTTCCTCAAGTTCCATGTCTTCCTAGAACTCACGGTCTTGTCTCGAGTTTTTTTCACTTCACCCTCCTTGTGTGCCCCTCAGGATTTCTGCTATTGAAACTGGAAGCGGAAAGTTCCATGGTTTTTGTCAGTGTTGTTAAACATTTATGACATCAGTCCCGGTCCAATTTCGATGAAGCATTGAGGGATGGGGACACGGTAAAGTAACGGCTGCACAAAAAACCACATGACATTGAAATGGGTGCGTATTAAGTTTCTAGAAAATTAACGACCCAAGTAACGTTAATAAGAGTTACATAGACGGGCAACTATGGGGAATTAGAATAAACGAGTGAGGGAGGGGGGTATGTACAGTGCCTGCAATCAAAGCAGGGGGGAAAGAGCCATGTTACTGAAATCAAAGCTTGGTGTGGGTCAATCCATTTTGGGTTGGACTGTGCTGGCGGTCATAGATTTTTTAGCTCAATCCAGCTCAGATCATCATAATAGCCTAATGGCTGAAAAATTCATTCCTTCTAAGTTATATGATATTATTATTTGATTTTCTTTTTTCGTCAACATCCATTGATTTTATATGGTGATGCTATTTTTATATTCAAATTACAGATAAAAGGAATTAAAGGTGTCCTTGGACTATGTTCAAACCTTGCCTTCCTGCATTATTAGGTATGGACATGAAGTTCAGAATATTCCCTTGCATGACATAAACAGAATACAAGTGGTCAGTGGAAGTAACTGTGAAGATATTTATAAAATAGTTATGTTTGAATGAATAAATTTATTTATTAGTACGTTTAAGAAAATAAATAAAGGATAAAATAAAAAACTATTTTGTGTAAAGGTTTTCTTAAGGAAACTAATACGAATCATTTAATCAATTAATTTATGCACAAATTCATTTTAATTTATATTAACATTTTTTAAAAATATTTTAAGAGGAATTCCAAGGCATTAATTCATTAAAAAAATATTAAAGTACGTATGAGAATTTAAAATTTTTAAATATCTTGTAGGAAAATATGTTGGTTGAATAGAAAATTGAAAAAAAATTATAAATTTATAAAAGTCACTTAATTATTTTAAATCATAAAATCTTAAATTTAAAAAATAAAATAAAATTTTACATATGTTTTTTCCTTTATTTTCTCTTAATCCGTTTCTTGTATTCCGACTCTTCTCTCTAGGTCATTCTCTCTCCTCTCTTATTTTTTTATATTTTTCTTTTTTTTCTGTCTAATTTCTCTTTATCATGCTTATCTCTATAAATTTGGGTAAAGTATCAATATTTACAATTTTAAGTTATTAAATCTTATTTTAGTTGAATTTTTAATTTACTCAATATTTTTAATAATTGAAATTTAAAATTAATTAATAATTATTTTCATAAAGTTCGATCTTCAAATTTTTAAATATGTATTTCTATTTATTTTATCTAAACCAAAAAGTTTAATTTAATTTTTAATTAATTAACCCAAATATAATGTTTAAAACATTAAAAAAAATCAATTCAAACATCCAACATCTCAAATTCATCAAAATTTTAAAATTTTATTTTCCATTACAGCCTAAATATTTATAGTACATTTTTGTCATCAATGCCGATATAGAGCTTAAAGAAAACCTCACGGTGCAATTATTACACATATTTTCCATCATATTTATACAAAAATGTAGGAAGCACATTTACAACTCCCTCTATTTTTTATTTTTTGTTTTTCATTTTCACCGCGACTTGTTCAGGAATACTTAATTGCATTTTCACGTGGATAAAAATAAAAAAAAAACTAGGGGATCTGCATTTATTTTAAAATGACATATTGACTCAACAAGCTTTAAATATATTGTTCTAAGAATAATTATTAAGAAACTAAAAGAGATAAACTATTTAAAATATACAATAGTTTCATTATTAATAAATCCCTATTACAATACTTAATAGAAACTTTCTATTTTAATATTTTCTTAATGATTGTTTTAATAGTAATTATTAACAAAATATTTAAAACTTAAAAGTTCAATAAATTGAGTGACCAGATTGTAAGCTGCATAACTTGCAAGTTCTCGTGCTTAGAATAATATAATTTTAACATTCAATTTATGTTACTCCATTTATTACATCCTTAATAAATAAATAAAATAATCTTCCAATTGATCATAAGTAAACCATAAAATTGACGTAGTTTTTGTTGTATGTCTTCTAAAAATAATACCAATCACCCTTAACGTGTTAAAATATCATCATTAATACAATCGTAATATAGTTAGAATTACAAATTTTAGTGGCATTATATTGGACTAATTTTTGAATATTTTACATTGATTAAAGATATATTCAAAATAGAATATATATACATGTATAAATCTTGTTTTATAAAATAATTATCTTTATATGCTCAAACACAGTCATGTTTATTAAAAACTACTTATTTAAAACACGACCATATTTCTTAACATAAATGGTTTGTTATTGAGATTTTAAGTTTTAAAACAAATTATAATACATAACAAATATTTTAAAAATAAAGTAACTCTGAAAACACGTTGATTCCATTAATTTTTCAAAATCAAGGTTCACAAAAATGGATGAAAAAAGAGAGTCTATCTTTAGTGGAAATATTTGACAGATCCACATTCATTACTATGAAGCAATTGTGAAATACTACTGACAGACAAAATTATGTTTATATTTTATATAAAAAATAACTTATTACCAAAACAATTAAAAAGATGACCTTAATAGTTTCGGTATTTTACAAGGATGAAAGGATGATTTTTGTGTGTTTTTTAAACTTAATTTTAGTCTCTGTATTTTTAAAATCAATTTAATATTTAATTTTTAAAAATATGTTATTTAAGTTTTTTAATACATAAATTCAATATAATTTTTTATGATCTCAAAATTTATAAAGTAACTAAATTAATAAAATATATGATTTTAATATATTTTTAAAAAACCAAAATTTAACATTTATTTATCGTCACAAAATTAATAAAATAATTAACTTTATATTTAAAAAATAAATAAAAATATAATAAACTTTTAAAACACAAAAATCAAAATTTACAAAATAAAAATTTATTTAACTCTTCACTTTTAATCATGTTAATGTTTTTTTAAAGAAAAAAAGTATGTTAATGTTATAAATATGCATATTATTAATTAAAGTTAAACAATAACATCAAAAAATACATATCATAAATATTTATATAATTTAGGTATTTCAAAATATAGGCTTCCTCCTCGTAGGAATTACATGCATTAAAGCATTAAAAAAATAGAATTAATAAAAATACTAAAATTCTATCAACTTCAAACCTACTTTAATTGAGTCCTAACATCTACGTCATTTGCTCACATGTAAAATACACTATCATCATAATTTAAATTAATACACAAGACTCATAGGATAAGTTAGTGATTCAAAATAAACATCTTCAAATTTGAATTATTTATAAATTAACACATGTAAATATTCAAATTTATTAACATTACATAAATCCATTGCAAAGTGATACATTACGTAATACCTCAAAATTATAATCATTAAAAAAGGAAAAAAAAATTAAAACTTGTAATTATCTCTCTCAATTAAAACATAAATATGGTTACCAACGGGTTAACAGGAAAAATGAAAAAGAATAAAAGGGAGAGAGAAAGGAGAAAAAGGAAGGGAAAAGAGATGAAAAAAGAAAGACAGGAAAAGAAAAAGAAGAAAGAGAAATGAAAAGAGAAAAAGAAAGTAAAAGAAAAAGAAAATATATAAGTACTTTCAAAAAGATTTTAATGTATTTCATATAATTATTAAGGTAGAAGAATAGGACAACTATCATTCTATTTATTTATGATTGCTAAGTTGGTTGTTTCTATCTTTATTATATTTATTTTTGTGTATTTATTTATCTCCATTCATATATTCTGTCATATTTATTAAAAAGGGCGTCATATTAGATAGTATCATAGCAATATTTTGTGTGTGACTTGTGAAATGAGTCTATCATGAGATACTATGAATCTTAACTTGTATAGTTCTAGATGACAAATAATAGGAGGAACAGTGAGTTTATAGAAGACGTATAAGCTATCAGAGACATGATTGTTGCATTATTAAGGAACCAATTAATCACAATGTTTAGTTGAGTTTAGAAGAAAAAAACATCTACAATTCACCAAAGGTTATAACCTAAAAAAGGCTTAATTGTGGAATAAAGAATTAGAAAAAAATATTTTGAGTTATGAATTGCCTTGACTACTAAAAGGTGAATTAGGCTATGTTTATATTAATGGAAGAAGTTAAATATATTAATGAGATAGTAAAAAGAGATTATTAGAAGGAGGAAGAATACATTACTTGGGAGGTGTTTAGGACAAATTTTTTACAAAAATATTTTCCCAATAATATGAGGAGAGCAAAAGAAATAAAGTTTATGCAATTAAAGCAAGGAAGAACAATAATAGGAGAATATGCCTTTAAGTTTGACGAACTAGGGAAATACCCTGAATTCTTTTATCACTCAGATGAAATAATGAAGTGTACAAAGTTTGATATTGACACAGGCCTGAATTGACAGAGTGAAGGAAAACCCTATAACCGCCCTCGATGGAGATTTCAACCTAGTCGGTTTTCTGCAGGAAATTCTAATAAACATGTAAATAATCAGCTTAAGTGTTTTAAGTGTGGACAAGATTATTATGCTAAAGATTGTCATTTTAAATGACATGTTTGTTTCAAGTGTGGAAAACCTAGTCATATATTCTATGAATGTCGACAACACCAAATTCCATTCCATTTGTACGCAAGGCAAGACCTACAACAACAAAGAGAGTATACACCATGATTGGAACTAAAGTCTATCAAAATAATGATCAGACCCAAGACACGCGTTTCATTAAAGGTAAAACTTTAAAAGTATTATATGATTCACACGTAACTTATTCATTCATTTCTAATAATTGTATTCAATACCTTCAATTGTCAACTTCCTTTCTAGACACTAGTTTGATTGTTTCAACTCCCACATGTAAGTATGTAATTACTAATAAAGTTTGTCTAGATTGTCCTATGTTAATTGTAAATAGGAAATTCTTTGTAAATTTAA